TATTTGCTTGGAATCGCATAAAAAATGATGAGATTTATTAGTTTTGCTTAGACTAATACATGCAAAAAACATGTTCATCTCTCTCCTAAAAAAAATATATTTATACATTTTTCAAATGATTCACCATCATGTCTACAGATAGCTGATAGTCGGTACTACATTTTTTGTTCCAAAACCAAGTCGAAATTTTGTAGTATGGACGCCGCGTATCGATTTTTCTGTGATCTACTCTATTTCCATGCATTTTACTTGAATTGATCAAATTAGGACGGAAAAATATCTGTAGTGATCGAATTAGGAAAAACGTCCTAATTTGAGCGTAGAAACACATTGAAAAAAAGATTGAAAACAAAGACAAAAATTTTTTAAAAATTGGCCAAAAGATAGAGAATGATCTGACGAATCTAATGATGTCCTTTGTTTATCGAAACAAAAAAATTTTTCTAATCAAAAAACTTTTTTTCTGAGCAGGTCTATCGAATCCCATGTATTGCTCGAATTAGGACAAAAAAATAGCTGGAGTGATCGTATAAGGAAAATGACAAAATAGGGAAAAGTGAAAATTACTAATTTTTATAGTAACGATTACTCATTGAAGACAAATTAATTTTTGAGAAAAAAATTGGCCAAAATGTTCAGCGTCGATCACTCTATCCCGGAAAAAAAGAATGAGCTCGAACGGATGTCGCTGAACAAAATTATAATTTTTTTTCTAAAAATCATTGAAAGTTGCGCTCAAATTTGGGCGGGGTGCTCTATAGAAAACCTACAAATACTAATATTTACTTATTATATGAAAATAATCAATGTAGAGAATATAAATTAGGCTTAATAAGAACACTAGTTATTCGTATTCTACTTATATGTGCAAATGATATATTGAGAAATGATGAAATCAAACTAATGATAAATACGCTAATAATGAATGATTCTGCTAAACATCTAATTAAACGAGGAATAAGAGGAGCAGAAGTAATTACTAAGAAAATAAGATCTCAAAAACAAGAATTAAATACAGATGGATAAAAATGAAAATATTTTTCTGAGATTTGTTTTCGTAAGATATTAAATATTTTATTTAAATGACGTGTAACGATCGCATTTCTTTTCAAAATGTTGTGGTCCATCAATGGGTTGTGAACAAGAAAAACAGAATTGTTTCAAACATCCATTACAAACAATCCAATTGTCTTCTTCTATTTTAACATTGATTTTATTACATAAACTATTGGGACATTGTTTCACTCGTTTGATAATAGCAGAACCAAGAAGTGATCGATTATTAATTAAAATTTTTGAATTTTGTTCATTTTCATTTTCTTTCAATTGATCAGAATCAGTTTTTTGTTCTGATGATTGTACTAAAAGAAAATTAAATTTAATTTAATATTGAGATAATTTCTTATCAAACCTAAATTTAAATTTGGATTCAATTTTTCTTTGATAGCTTGAACTGACTTAGTGTTAGAAGCATGATATAACAAAGAAGTCATTTCGGGAAGTTTAGGTTCTTCTGGTACAGACCAAGTAAAATCAAAATTACATCTTGAACAATGCATATGTGAACAACCACCATTTTTTTCAATTCTTACACGACAATTTGGACATAGTTGAGTATTCGATGCTTCTAATTGTTCAGCAGCAAGGATTTTTTCTAATAGAATATCTTCTTCAGATGAATCAAGAATAATTTCACGATATTGCTGTCTGGCAAGATTTTTCTTCATTGATGTTATTTTTCCTCTTTCAATTTTAGCTAATTCTATTTGAGCTTTTTCTTGTTGTCTGGCAATTCTTTTTTGATCTTTTTCTTCTCCTACTCGATTTCTTTCACGTTCTTCTTCCTGTTGTTTTAAAAGTCTTTCTCGTGCTTTTTGTTGTTGTAATTTTAATTGTACAATTAGATAATCTTTTGGACACATCACTTGAAAATGAAAAGTTTCTTTACATTTTTTACAAAATGTAAAATGACATTGATCACATATAGCTAAATTATCATCACCATTTCCAGCAAGAACAGCAAATTGACATCTAAATCAAATAATTTTTCTCTAGAGTGTAACATTTTCTTGTGAACGAATGTTTTTGTCTCTTCTCTTAGCTCACACACACACTCTAAAAGACTTTTGATTAGGTATTCTCTTAATATGAAAATATTCGACTAGAATTGCGATTCTATCTTTTTTTTCGACTCACCTTGGACACCAAATAATATCATTCATTAATTCTAAAGCATGTTGTAATGTTAATTTTTCATATCTTTGATATAAATGATCATCATTAATAATTTGTTTAATTTCATTTGGAAGTAATGCTTTTTGACATTGATTTTGTGGACAAACAAGTTTTTCACCAAATTTTCCATTATCTAATGTCATTTTAACATAATCATTTAAACATGATTGACAATAAAAATGTCCACAACGATGAAGGCGAATACAATCTATTCCTGGAAGAATATCTGTACATATTGAACATGTTTGCAATTTTTTTTGAAATTGTTTTTCTTCTTGTTCATTATTATAATTAATTAAATATTGATAAATTTGATCAATATTCTCATTTAAAAATCCATTTAATGCTCGTGGATCATTGAGTCGGTCATCGATTTTTGTATGAATTGTAAATTCATTCGTAATTTCTTGTTTAATTAATTCAATCCAATCATAAACACAAACTTCACCTTTTATAAATGGATAATTATCAAGTTTTCGACAAAGATTTTGTAAAGATAATTTAGAAAAATAAAAACATGAAAGAATAAATGAAGGAGGATAATCACTTGGATATTGATCATGATAATGAATAATAAGAGTAAATGATGGTAGATAATGAATAAGAGATTTTTCATTATTAAATTCAATAACAATTGGTTCAATTAAATCAAAATTAATTAAAATTTCATATTGATTATTTTCATCGAGAAGACGAAATTTATTATCAAATATTGATTGTAATGCTAAGATTTCATCTTCTTGTTTTTCCAGATTTGTCATTGATATTGTTGGTCAAAAAAAATATATGTCTATTGAAACTACTAAAAATGTTATGAATATATGACGATGTTTTAAAAGCACATGTTGTTTTTCTGCTTTCTTGTGCAATTACAACATTGCGCAAGACAGTACCAATGCATCTATGAAAGAAAGAACAGAAAAGAAACGGTGACGAACAAATGACATAGATGTCAAAATATAAAGGTTTATTTTTTACAGTCTGTTCTACAGAATATCTTATTCGTTTCGACTATGAATGAAGTGCACGATCGAATCGTCACGAATTATTCAGGATCTAGAAGTTTAAATATATCGAGTTAATTCATTTTTCATCAATTGACTCTATTGAGGCATTTCCACATGTTATAAGCGAATAATGCTTTTAATATTTTTTCTATACATTGTATGGTGCTGATCCATGTAAAAGCTGCCGATAGAAAAAAATTAGATTTTAATTAATTTTGTTGATTAATAATGAATTCTACTCTTCACAATGTTCAATATTAATCAAATATCATATAATTTGTCAACATGTGAGAAAGCTCCAAAAACTATTCGGAGTTTTGAATCGAGGAATAAAATTTTTCATTTAAGAGAATCTCGTTATAAAGATCCTACAATTAAATTAATTATAGAAAATTATATTTTTAGATAAACTATTTTATTATTAATGAATGATATTAATGTTAATTTTCAAATAAAATAACTCGATAATTTTTTTAATTTTATAAAAATTCTACGCTGACTAATCGATTTTTTCTTCAGAAGTTCGAATTTAGTCTAATGTTTAGAATCTATTTTTTGAGGGTGTGGGTGTAGATATTGTATTCACCTAAAGCCTATACACACACCCAAAAATAGAGTAATACATCAAATGAAAAAAAATAATCAGAAAGGGACAAGCATAGCTGCACTCATTAAAAGAACTAAAAATATCTGTGCTATGTTCGTGAGACTTAACTACTTTTTGTTTCAGATTATTGTGACGTGACTAAGTCAAACAGTTATATCCGACTTATTATTAACACTCTCATTTCAAAGTTTTGCTTCGAACAAAAAAAAACATTTTCCACATATATCAAAGTTATTGTCAGAGTAACATGTTATCGTCAGACGATTTTCTCACATTGTTACAATCAATCCAAACAAATTTATTGCAAATCGGTGGTCCAATACTATTAGTGTGTGGTGTTATTGGTTGTGTCATCAATCTGATTGTTTTCGCTCAGAAAAATCTACGTAAAAGTCCATGTTCCATCTATTTGATAGCAGTGAATATCGGTAATTTATTAAACATTACTTTACCAATATTATTCTTTATATTAGCATATGGCTATGACATAGATCTTACTACACATAATCTCTTCATGTGTCGTTTCTATTATTATACAACGTATTTATTTGATATTCTCAGTGCCTTTTATCTTATTTTAGCTTCAATCGATCGAGTATTAGTCACATCATCAAATGTTCGAACACGGCAAAAAAGCACTCGTCGTTTAGCTTATATTTGCATTGGTAGTGGAACATTATTTTGGATTTTGTTTCATTGTCATACATTATTCCTAACAGATATCCAAGAAATAGCACCTGGTTATTTTACGTGTTATTATCGAGCTGGCGCATACGTCGTTTTCACGGGTTATTATTCATTGTTTGTCAAAGCAATTATAGTGCCTTTGTTACTGATTATTTTTGGTATATGGACTGCTAAAAACATTAGAAAAGTGCGTCAGCGACGTATTGCACCTGTAGCAACGAATACTGAAAATACAGCGCGGAACGTTGAACGACCCTTTCACTCCAAAGACCGACAATTTGTTCTAATGGTAGCTGTGGATATTTGTATTTACATAGCATGTAATGCAATGCTGGTAGTCGTTGTTATATATTATCAGATCGTACAGAATGTTGGCTACACACAGATCAATAGCTTTTTGAATCTGGTGGGAACTTTTATTAGTTATATTTCATATTGTATTGGGTGTTATGCATATGTATTTATATCAAAAACATTTCGAAAAGAAGTGAAACGTTTATTTTTTTGTCAATGAGTTAGATGTATTCTTTTTCTTTTGTTGTGAAGTTTGTATAGTTATTTGGTGAATATTTGTTTTTTTGTTTAAAATAAAAATGAAATTATTCGTAAGATTATATCTATCTTTCTATGCAAATGGTTCAGAATTTGAAGAATAGTTAACATTCTAAGAATGAGATATCAGAATGTAATGAATATTAACAAGTATTATTACTGAAACTTGTTCCTTTATTTATCTTTCTTCCATATTCATGATGTTTAGTACTTATATTCCAAATAAATTAAATTAATGCTTTATTTTATCTATTCGACATCACTGGAACATGAGAATATCAATATGTTGAGTGAAAATTTGTTTCGGGTTTTTAGTTTCTCGAACCACACTCGTTGTCTCCTCACCGACGTAATCTGACTTATTCAGCGTCTTTGACTGTTACCTCTTTTCTATTTTGATTGATAAATTCGATTGTTGATAAGTATTAAACATTCTCTTATCCGTAAACATGTAGATAGGTTGTTATGTATTTCATTTATCGACAATAACTTGTCAATAATGGCGGTAATGAGGAGAAATTTAAGATTATCTAGCAGTCGGTTATCGAAAATTGAAATAGTGATAGATATCATCTTTCAGATAAAATTAATTCTTTTAATATAGATTTATATCGAAAAATAATATGAAATATAAAAATATTCTCTTCATTTCTTTCTACAACGCGGATGACTGAAATTAATTTGAGTTGTTTTATAGCCAATCTCATTATTACCAACACTCACGACAAATTCAGTTTAATAGGTTGATAATGAGATAATACCATTGAGACGAACTCCCATAGCAATGATTTTAATCCGTCATTTGTTTACAGTGGTCTGTGATTTTAGTCTCTGTATATTTCTTTCAATTCTCTGGTCATTTTCCCATCAATCAACTCTTTTTCTGTTCTGTTCTGATAAATATATTTTGATTAAATTGGTCACATATCAAACCTGAGATTTTTGTCACAAATGTATGAGTAAGATAATGATGACCTGATAATCATGTCATGACTCATCAACATATATAAAATAGTGACCATTCTATTGACTTAAGAGTCGAAATAATGTCCCTAACATCCGATGAGAAAAATCATTTGTCATTATGTGATATTATTATATTATATATTTATAGCCGTTCATTACTTACTGATGATTATCAAATAAATAATCTGGAAAAATCATTTAATGAATATTTTCATTTATATTGTCCACAAGCATTTCGTCGTATTGTTTGTGATGAAAATAGTTTATTAAATGGAGAAATTATCGAATGTGATCATAAAAAAGAAAGAAAAATCTTCTCATCAGAATCAAGAACAAATGAAAGTGTTTTAAACTATCTCAATGATAATTATTTCGTTGAAGATTTAGGGTGAGTGTGGTTGTGAGTATGTCAATTTGAATTTTAGTTATATTTTATCGCGCACTCACGCCCTGTGATTCCGTGACGGTCGTCTCCATCACCCAGAATATTTATAAAAAGCTTCCAATATATTCATTGTATAAAGCATAAAAAACTGTATTTACAGCACAGTCTCTAAAAATAAAAACGCAATCATTGTTGACTAGAAATAAACTACACTTTATTTGCGTGACGAAAATACCTAGATTAATGTACCATGTTTGCGAATTTAGATAACGTCACAAAGAAACAACGGTTCAAACTTTTTTTTCGTAAATACATACTCTATTAGTCGTAGCGCTACTTCAAATATAGAGTTCCAAAAAAGTACGTCTCTCTGCAAAAAAGATTTTAAACTAGTATTTGTCATAATTTTGTTATTTCGAGACTTTTGAGACTCACACTTTTTGTATGATAAATTTTCACGCGACAATGCAGACCTATGAAGTAAAAGAATACATTCCTGAGTGATTTCGACTTTGCTCCACACGATGGTACTATTAGTTTTGCTTAACAGCAGTGGTCAACTTTGCCCACTAATGTACACAGTTACGTGGACAGGTCGATACACAGATAAAAATTTTATTTTTCTTACTATTATATTTAAACAACGAAGTTTTCTTGATATTATTCATGAGTGAGAATGAAAATGTGAATAACAATCTTTTATTCACCAGTACTCTCGCTCTTCATTTTTTTAAATTTGTCATCATCGTACCTGTTTCTCTATGAAAGAAAAATCGTCTTCAAGGTATCCTCATTATTCTATTAATAAACCATATGAAATGATATATTCTTAGAACACAATTAAATAATGCTGAATTTACGTGTGAATGATTTGAATATCTCTTAGCATTTGCTACCGAATTCAAATTTCTTCATGAGCAAACACACATAGAGCGATACATCAAACGAAAAGAAATAATTAAAAAAAGATAAACATAGTTACACTCATTAAAGTAACTAAAATATCTCTGCTTTGTTCTTAAGGCTTTTGATTATTTTTGTTTGACATTATTGTGACGTCAGTAAATCAAACAATTATATCCGACTCATTATTATCACTCTCTCATTTGAGAGTTTTGCCTCGAGCAAAAAAAAGATTTTTCAGTTATATCAAAGTTATTCTCAAAGTAACATGTCTTCGTCGGACGGTTTCCTCATACTGCTAGAATCAGTACAGACAGATTTATTTCGAATCGGTGGTCCAATATTATTGGTACTTGGTATTGTCAGTTGTATCATCAATCTCATTGTTTTCACTCAGAAAAATCTACGTAAAAGTCCATGTTCCATCTATCTGATTGCAGTGAATATCGCTAATTTCTTATACATTATTTTAATAGTATTATTTGCTACATTATCAGTTGGCTATGGAATAGATCTAACTGACTCTAATCTGTTCATGTGCCGTTTCTATTACTACATATTGTATTTAGTTGATATTCTCAGTGCATTTTATCTTATCTTAGCTTCAATCGATCGAGTTTTAGTCACATCATCAAATACTCGAACTCGACAAAGAAGCACTCGTCGTTTAGCTTATGTTTGCATTGGTAGTGGAACATTATTTTGGATACTGTTTCATTGTCATACATTAATCCTAACAGATATTCAAGAAATAGCACCTGGCTATTCTATATGTTACGCTCGAGCAGGTCGATACGTCGTTTTCCTAGGTTATTATTCAATGTGCGTCAAAGCAATTATAGTGCCTTTGTTGATGATTATTTTTGCTATATGGACTGCAAAAAACATTAGAAAAGTGCGTCAACGACGCATTGCTCCTGTAGCAACGAATACTGGAAATATGATAGGAAACTCTGAACAACCCTCTCGCTCCAGAGATCGACAATTTGTTCTAATGGTAGCTGTGGATATTTGTATTTACATAGTATGTAATACAATGCTCTATGTTGTCGTTATATATTACCAGATCGCACAGAATACCGGCTCATTACAGATCGTCATCTTTCTGAATTTGGTAGGATCTTTTATTAGTTATATCTCATTTTGTGTTGGATGTTATGCATATTTATTTATATCAAAAACATTTCGGAAAGAAGTCAAACGTTTATTTTTTTGTCAATAAGTTAGATGTTTTCTTTTTTTGTTGTTGTTCAGTCTGTATTCTTAATTGATGAATATTTGTTTGTTGTCTAAAATAAAAATCAAGTCATTCGTAAGGTTATATCTATCTTTATATGCAAATATTTCACGGTTTCAAGAATAATTAACATTTAAAGGATGAAATATCAGAATGTAATGAATATTAACAAGTATTGATCCTCAAGCTGCGCCTTGATATTGATTTTGCGAAGGAAATACTACTGAAACTCGTTCATTTATTTGCTGTTCTTCTGTATTGATGATATTTAGTAATAATATTTGAAATAAATTAAATTAATGCTCTATTTTGACAATTTGATATATTTGGAACATGAAAATATCAATATGTTGAACTAAAATGTGTCATGAGTTTTTAATTTTTCGTGCCACATTCCTTGTCTCTTCGCTGACACAACCTAATTTATCTAGAGTCTTTAACTATTACCTCTCTCCTGTGCCGACTGATAAATTGAATCATTGATGAGTATTGAACATTCTCTAACCAGTTGATATGTAGAGAGATTGTTAAGCGTTTCATTTATCAATAATAACTTGTTAATCATGTCGATCAGGAGGAGAAATTGAAGAATAACTGACAGTCGGTTATTGAAAATTAAGATGGCAAAGATAATTGTCTTTCCGATAGAGTTAATTCTATTTTTTTTGTAGATTCAGGTCGAGAAATAAAATGGAATAGAATAATATTCTCTTCGTTTTTCTCTACAACGCATACGACTGAAACTAGCTTGTGTTGTTTTATGACCAGTTTCATTATTATCCACACCAGAGACCGGCGGGACAAGGATTTGTCTGTCCCGTCCCGCCTCCCGCGCAAAAACATTTTTAGTGTCCCGTCACGCCATCTTGATCGAACAAATAAAATATTATCTACTTGAGATGGAGAAAGATTAGTTTGACGTTCGGTTACAACATGACCTTATATAGGAGCTGTGGACAAAGCGAATATACAGTATAGTTCTCGAAGATTATTTCTTTCACTTAGTACAAGTTCATTGTTATTAAAGCAAAGAAAGACTTACGTTCTTTCATTCTGTAGAACAATTACGAATATATACGTAGTATGAGTTTCATGAGGATGATAAGGATAGAAGCGATCATATATTCGAGATAAGAAATAGCGAATAATATCATTCAAATGTTCTTTAAAAGATACCGTTACTAACGATATTTAGCGTTTTTCGTGTAAATAAGTCACTGGAGTATATAAAGTCAATGAATATCGATCGCGGGACAATTCCGTATAAAGTTTTATCCCGTACCGTCCCGCGGTAAGCCTTAAAAAGTGTGTCCCGCCGGTCTCTGATCCACACCCACACGCACGTACACCTACCCTCAAGATTAGGGTTTAATACGAAACTATCACGGTTCCACATGAAACTCTTAAGGTTTCGTATCTTCCTACGAAACTTTTTGGTAGTGTCCGAACTTAGAAAAGGTTCCGTAGGAGAACGTTCTTCCCGCCGATAATCGAGAAGATCCTCTACTGGTTTCATAGAATTTTCTATTGTATTTTGCAAACTTTGAATATGTTTAGATACTTTTTCGTAGCGACGAAATCATTTTTGCGGTGCTCAGTAGAGCACCGTTGTTTTTTTAGAGTGAGGAGCATTCCTGTGAACCAAAACGTCATTATCTAAATTATTATAGTATAAAGCTCAATTGTTATGAATGTGTTGCTTAAGAACTGATCTTGTGAGTGGGTGGGTGCAAGTGTAGGTGTTGCATTCTTCTTCTTTCCACATCCACCTCTACAGGTGATTTTTATATTGTAGATACAACAACTGCTTATCTGTATTTAAATAATGATGGAATTTCCAACAGATAGAACGTGAATTTGTTGTCAATAATGATCAAACTTCTCTATCTAATGTCAAAGAAATATCAACTGCTATTGTTTGATTACGACACAGACATAATTTATCAAAATCATGTATCAATGATATATGTGACTTACTACGCTCGTTTGGCGTCAAAAATGTATCTGTAAACTTTCGGTCTATTGAAGAATCTATCATATAGAACCAGGAAACTATCTTGCAAAGTAAAAGATATTTTATATGTTCAAAGTGTTGTCATAAAGGAGCGAACTTATCAAAATGTGAAAACCACAAATGCGCGTTCAATATTGGTTTTGTCGTAACTCCAACAACGTTGTACATATTTCTACTTCTTTCTCAGATTATATCAATCTTAGAACGTCGTGACACTCTACTTGAAACAGATGAAAATGGCACTGCCAAAATAACTGATATTCAAGGAGGCCAAATTCGACGAAATATTATATTAAAAGAAAGATTACCTGATCCAAATGGAAAAGTAGTGACTTTTCTTTTAAACAGTGATGGTATAGTATTAAAGAAATTTAATCGTTCAGTTTGGATTACTTATATGGTCGTTAACGAATTACCTCGAAAAATAAGATTTAATAATAATAACACTGTTGCTTGTTGTATATCTATGGGTGGTACTAAACCGAAAAAAGATCAATTCCAAGATTTTATAATCGATTGAATTCATAAATTGAAACAACTAGAACTTGGCTTCTATATATCTCCACCACATTTAAATGAAAGTTTTATAAAAAATCTATGGTTTTTTAATTGCAGCATCGCTTGATAAACCAGCTCAAGTCTTACTGATGATCATTACGGATCCGACGGGATTCTATAGCTGTGTACGATGTACAATTAGAAGCAAAATGTTATGCATCTTATAATCTATAACAATAAAACTAGGAATCAGATTTATTTTATAAATTCTAAGCAACACGGTCCATATGATAACAAAGCTGTAAATCAAATTAAAATTGTTTTTTAGTGTATTTTTACATGAGTGATTTGTTTGTGAATTCTGCAATTCATGCAAACATAGATTATGTAGAGTTTAGTTAAGATCAGTTACCTCTTCCAGTTTAATCATACAAATTTGTATGGCGGCGCTCTCTATGGATGTTCATATCAATTAGGTAACATGTACAAATACGACTAAAAAAGCGTTCACATTCAAAATCAAAGGGGAGGGGGTCATAAAGGAGGGGTGCATTTCCAGCAAAATTCGCTCGGTAGTTTCCGAGGGTGTTCAAGTAAGCAGGGGGTTCATAAAGAGGGGTTTTACTGTATATATATATTTCTATCACAATACCAATTATTGAAGTTTATATAAACGTAATTTTATTGAATTTATCAATCATTAATTAGTAATTTCTTTTTAAAAAAACAAAATTCACCATGTCAAACAAGAACAGTAGTATTTGTCACTCGAAATATTCCTTCAATCCATGCTTTTTCTTTTGCATCAAAATTATTATTTTGAATATCGAGTTTCTTCATATCTTTAATTAGATAGAGTGAATCGGGTAATGTTGTTAGTAGATTGTTCGATAAATAAAAATAATTAAGTATCTCCATTCTTGCTAATGAAACACTTGAAATAGATACAATTTTGTTGTTATTAAATGAAAATGAAGTACTAGTGTGTGATGCAGTTGTGTCAAGACCATCGAGAGATGTAAGTTGATTACCATCTAGTTCGATTACGTGTAAATTTGGAATATTGGCAGGAAGATGATTAATCATGCAATTTGATGCTCGAAGGATATTGAGTGATGTTGATCCATGAAGAACATCGAGTGAAGAAAGATGAAGATTGTCGTTAACAGATAATGATGTGAGAGATGATAGGTTACCCAGTGCCCACGGTAGACTAACTAGACGATTTTTATCGAGTGTTAGTTGAGTGAGTGAAATCAGTTTGTTTGCATCTTCTGACAATACTTCCAAACCACCGTTAATAATCGATAATGTTGACAAAAGTTCCAAATTAAATAACTCAACAGGAAGAGAACCCGATTGAGAAATGTTGGATACAATCAAAGATGTGAGTGAAAAAGAAAGACGACTTATTTCAGGAGGAATGACGACGTTAGGAGAATTAAAAATAGAAAGTTCTTGCAAATTACTCAAACAAAAAAGAGCTAGTGGAATATTAGGAATATTCACTAGAATCAATTCAATTACATGACTATTCCTATCGACATTAGCATAACTAAATGTAGGTGGTGATGGTTGAGGTTGTGGTGGATTGATTAACACAGTGAATGGAAGAGATCGAATAATTTGTTTGTCCGATGTATAAGTAGAACCATTGATTGTACAGTTTCGTTGTGGTGGAGTTCCTGAAATAAAATAAATGATTGAACAGATTTATCTAAAATTTATTTACCGTCACATCCATTCCAACAGGCACATTTGTTTGTTAGACGAAATTTATAATAATCTTCTGGATCTTCTCCTAAAACCTCTAACTTATTGGTTTCATTAGTTGCACAAATTAATGTAACAGAGGCTTCTCTTATGCCGGATCTATATGTAATAGAAGGACTATCGTCTGGACCTTCACCCGGATTCCATGTGGCACTTTCTTGCTCACCAAGACTAAAAACATTTTCTTTATCCCTTGAAACTAATTAGAATACCAAAAAAAACAAAATAAAATAAATAATATAAAGTTACAAACTTTGACAAACAGCTACATCAATACAATCGCCTACTTCTGAAAATGGTTTACATGGATTATAACTATACACTATATTCAAGAAATAATCAAAAAATAATTATTAGAATATCAACAAAATCAACGTACAATAATTAGCTCCCGCTGATTCTGTTTTATCTGGATAAGCCGCTTTTCCATCAGTTCTAGCTAAGGATCTTAAATCTATGACACCTTTTGAATGTTCAAACCGACATGGATCATCAGCAATAACTAATGTAGTTAGAACAACTAAAAGACTTGTGAAACTCTTTAACCAAAATATCATCGTAATAACCACCTTTCTTTTTCTGACAAATAAAATGAAGTAAAATATGAGAGATACAGCTATTATATATCTTAGCTTCAAGATTTGTTATTTATATGATATCATTATATACAGATAAAAGTTTTCTTTTTTTCACTGTTGTATTTAAACAGCGTGTTTTTTTTATATTATTCATAAGTGAGGATGACAATGTGAATATCTACCTTTTCTTCACTTATGCTTTCACTCTCTCTAGTAGTCGAGCTCTGACATCATCACACCTGTTTGATTATGAAAAAAAGTATCATCAAGGTATTCTTATTATTCGATTGATAAACCATATGAAATGATATATTATTACAACGTAATTTATTTAATTAATGTTGAATTTGCGTGTCAACGATTTGAATATCTCTTTGCATTTGTTTCCAAATTAAAATTTCTTCATTCATGACTTCACGGTGTGATGATTTACATTTAATATTCATGAATACACAATTTCATAATTTAGAATTATGTGAAATAAAGAGTGATGCATATGAACATGCAATCAAAGGAACTCTATTTATGTATGTAGATTTATCTTATATAATGATAAAAAAATTTCTGTAACGTTAAGTAAACACCATTACTTTATATCGTTCAATAAGAATAGGATTTGTTGACATTAAAAAATTTTGTTGAATAATTTTCATCAATATTAACTTTTCTATCGTTCAGTTGCAGTAATAAAGATGTTATAAATAATATATACGACTACGTTGGAGTGATATAAAAAATTGATTAAGATGTTAGACATAAATGAAGTGTTCATTGAATTTTATTCAGCTTACCGGAAACACTCCTCTACTTCTTAAACAAAAAATTTCTGAGATTGAGGGATTGGTATGGACATACAAGAATAATGAAGCTTCACACTCACCAAAAATAGATACTCTTTCCATTGTTATATATCTTCATAGATGAACATGAACTTGAGATTATCTTCCACGCTGGAAACAGCTCTACGTGTATTGAATTGTGAAATCAACATATGCTATTATTTATTTTCATAGACAGAAATTCGAAAATTTCTATTTATTGAAAGGATGCACACTCCCCTCTCCTCTCCTCACTTTTGCGGTTTCTGGAATCAATTCTATTTTTTGGTGATTGTAGTTATAACTTCCATACTTTACACTAACTTTGAAATGCATTTGTAGATCCATGAAGTCTTGATAACGTATTTGATGATGTTCATACAGTTGTGTCGTACACTAATCAACAATGAAAGAATGACTATTACTAATTGTTGTTTTTTTATATAAATCGAAGTAGATCTGTGTTAAAGAAAAGCACGTTCTTATCGAACATGTTAAACTCTGATCCGAAGTAGCAATTAAATATTCACTCTATGACGATTTCTTATAGAAGAAGTGTTAGTGTTGATGATAGTATACTTTATTATATTTCTTCTTATTTTGAATCATATCGTTTTCATATAAAGCATATACTTATAAACTAGCCCATCATAGAGAATAAACGAGCAAGATAAAAAAGAATAATAAGTAAGACAGAAATAATAAAAAGGGACAAACATCATTACACTCTCATTAAAAGAACTAAAAATATCTGTGCTATGTTCGTGAGATTTAATTATTTTTCTTTCAGATTATTGCGACATGACTAAATCAAATAATTATACCCGCTTCATTATTATTACTCTTTCATTTAATAGTTTTGCATTCAACAAAAAAAACATTTTTCAAACATATCAAAGTTGTTCTCACAGTAACATGTCTTCGTCGGACGGTTTTCTCACATCGTTACAATCAATACAACAAAATTTATTTCGAATCGGTGGTCCAATATTATTGGTATTTGGTATTATCAGTTGTGTCATCAATCTCATTGTTTTCACTCAGAAGAATCTACGTAAAAGTCCATGTTCCATCTATTTGATAGCTGTGAATATCGCTAATTTATTATACATTACTTTCGCAGTATTATTCATTACATTAGAAGTTGGCTATGGAATCGATCTAGCTACATCTAATCTGTTTATGTGCCGTTTCTATTATTACATATCCTATTTAATTGATATTCTCAGTGCCTTTTATCTTATTTTAGCTTCAATCGATCGAGTTTTAGTCACATCATCAAATGCTCGAACACGACAAAGAAGCACTCGTCGCTTAGCTTATATTTGTGTCGGTTGTGGAACATTATTTTGGATGTTGTTTACTAGTCATGCATTATTCCTAACGGATATCGAAGAAATAGCACCTGGTTATTTTTCGTGTTATTATCGAGCGGGTCCATACGTCATTTTCATGGGTTATTATTTATTGTTCGTCAAAGCAATTGCAGTGCCTTTGTTGATGATTATTTTTGGTATATGGACTGCAAAAAATATTCGAAAAGTACGTCAGCGACGTATTGCTCCTGTAGCAACGAACACTAGAAATACAGCAGGGGACTCCGAACAACTCTTTCATTCTAAAGATCGACAGTTTGTTCTGATGGTAGTTGTGGATATTTGTATCTACATAGTATGTAATGCAATGGTGGTAGTTGTTGTTATATATTACCAGATCGCACAGAATACCGGTTTAACACAAATCAACAGCTTTCTGAATTTGGTAGGAGCTTTTCTTTCTCAAATTTCATTTTGTACTGGTTGTTATGCATATTTATATGTGTTGAAAACATTTCGAAAAGAAGTGAAACGCTTATTTTTTTGTCAATAAACTAGATGTTTTCTTTTTTTGTTGTTGTCAAGTCTGTATAGTTATATGGTGAATATTTCTTTGTTGTCTAAAATAAAAATGAAGTTATTTGTAAGATTTAATCTATCTTTATATGCAAATACTGCAGGATTTGAAGAATAACTAACATTTAAACGATGAGATATTCAGGATGTAATGAACATCTCCTCAGAGAAATCGTAAAAAAAGTTGGTGCGTTATGTCTCTTTCCCGTCAATAATAAAGATTATGAAGAGAAATTTAAGTTTAATCAGCAGTCGGTTATCGAAAATTGAAATAGTCATGAATATTGTCTTTCAGATAAAATTAATTCTTTTTTTATAGATTTAAATCGAGAAATAAAATAGAATATAATAATATTCTCTTCGTTTTTCTCTACAACGTATACAACTAAAATTAATTCGAGTTGTTTTATAACCAGTTGCATTCGTTAGTGTATTTGAGATTTCGTCTGACTATTTTTCCATCTGAAATATTAAAAGTGACAGTTCATAATATCATTTCGCCAGTAAACTCAAATGAACTTTTAATCTTTTCTTTCTCTACACACATCCAGCTACTCAAGTTCTACGGAACGAGATTTATTTTGCTTATGAAAAAAATAATTCAAATAAATCTACATAGATGTGTTTCATCTCACACGAATTAATTCGAGGATGTGGATAAAAGAGCGACACTCATCCACGACTTAATTTGTACCAACAAAATAATTAAAATCAGAAAGAGTTTTCTTTACTGTTTAATAATCAGTGAAACCTGTTATTTAGAAATTTTTACAAAAAAAAAATTAATAACAACAAAAGAAAATACATTGACTTCAATGATTGATGCAGGAGTAAGTTACATATGTTTTTTAATGAAAAAGAGAATAATTGTAATTTTGATTCGACAAACGTTGACGTTACACATCTTTATACATGATAATACTTTAGGCATTTTCTTTTCCATCATCATCATCATCATCATCATCTTCATTATCGTCCATTCCAGGTGGTACATATATCTTGGCATCTACTTTTAATCCACGAAAATTCCATTCTAGTAAACTTTTTAATCGTGCTAATTCATCTTTTTTATTTTTTGGTGCATATGTTCCGGAATCATTATCGACGACAAAAACAATATCTTCTTCGTCATCTCTTTTTTCGAATCGACACGTTCCTGCATAGATGACTTCTGGTTCACATGAAGCTTGTAAAGCATGTTTCGATGCAATATTACGTAGTCCAGTATCTGCTCGTGAAATATGAAAAACTCCATCGGGCAATAAAGTATATGTAAATTCTGGACTAGAATGAAATGCCCTTTGTTTTCGTTTTCGTATCTCTTCATCTTCTGATTCTTGATGTTTACGACATTTTTCATCATTTGGTATTGCACCTCCATCTTTTGCCATAAGACGAATAAATTCTTGACCTGTTCTCATATAACATGCACGACGTTTTCGTCGAAAAAATCCTGGACTATACAAATCCCGATGTACTGCACGTACTGTTGTTCGTAATGCGTCACCTTCGACTGTTTTCGAAAATAATTTACGAATAAATTCGGGTTTTTTATTGTATGTTTGAATGATTAGATTATCAGCGAGTTCATGACGTCTTTCAACTGCTATACGTTGTCTACGATAACGTACACAACAAGCCATACAGATCCTACGTAATAGAGTACTTTTGTCGAGTGATGAAGTGTCGGATGTATCATGATCGTTTGCATCGGAGAAAAAATGATGAACACCATGTAAGTGGATCGTGTGAACTTGATACATTTCGAAACGATTGGCAACAGTAAACGTCTTATTATAGTAGGTTTTGTAACGAATACGAGGTGCTTCTTTGTTGGGCTTCGGAGGACATTTAGAATTAGTCTTTGGAATATTATCTAAATCGTTGATACTTGAAGAACTTGAAGAACTCGAAGAACTTGAAGAACTCGAAGAACTTGAATTTACCATGTTAATCTATAACAAAGAATGAAATATAATAAGATAGAAGTCTTCTGCATACAATTTTTGTTACATAGATACATGAGTTAGAGAAAAAGCTGCCACTCTTTCTGTATAACCTTCACGTATGTAACGTCAAATTAATCTTTTATCCTACTCGCTCATTTCCTTGAATTTTATCACGACGACGAAGAAATAATAAAATTCTTTCTTCCTCTCATCTCTGATGATTTCATTAGATATACTGAATGCACTCACGCGCTGTTCAGAATTAAACTAGAAACTTGAATAAGAAATTTATAGTGAGTCATCGCAATGGTGGAGATACCTATACTATCAATAAATGAAATCTATAGGAGATGTGTGTGATGATTTCTAATAAAAAAAATATTAATACTAATAGTATTACGTTTTATTATATATCTCCTCATTGAATATCTCATTGTTTTTGTACAAAGGACACGCCCATATATCCGTCCATTATAGACAATGAAAAAATAAGAAGGGGATAGAGTATTATACGATGTATAAAATAAAGAAAAAAAAGATAAGTGCAATATATCAAATGAGAAGAAATAATAAGAAGGGGACAAACATCGATACAATATTTTTTGTGCGTGTGTCTACAATAAAGAATAAATCGTATTTGAAACACATTCTTTCTAAAAAGAAAAGAACTACTCGATGAGTACCTACGTCTTAGTTGTCTACTACGGTAGCTTTTTTTCTTCTTTAAACATTATGCGCAAGAAAAAAATAATGTATGGATGTTTTTTTTTCTCTCTTTCTTTCTTTCCTATGAATTTCGCACGTGGTACAAGACAGTGTTGTAATGCATACATTTTTTTCTATAGAATACAATTAAAACAAATTTAATAAAAGAAAAAAAAGATCAGTCACAGCGTGAAAAAAATGTGAAAGTTGTTCTCCGCATGTTAAAGACTCTTAAATAGAGATAAATAGTAGATCGTCAAGAAAAGTATCGTCTATAGTGACTCATTATAATCGGTGAGGGTATGAGTACTTTTTATTCATTTTATCTTGACTTCGATAATTCTACATATAAAAAAATCATACAATAGAAAAAACTTTTTATAGTGCTTCGATTTCGCTCGATATTAATTTTTGAAATAAGCAAGAAGAACTAATAGAAAAAAGGTGAATGTATGAATTTGAATGTAAGTATGATGTGAAGCTGAATTAAAAGTTTCATTACATGCAGACACACAAATATGACCATATTTTTGTAGCCATCTTATTTCTTCTCGTAATTTAATTTTTTCATGCCATGGATTATTTCCAAGAAGATGTGGTTCATCTGGTAATACAATAAGTTTTGTTAGAATATCGAGAGAATTTAATGCTCGTTCTAATATATAATTCTCTGATGTTGCTACACGAATATCACTGCCTGGTACCACTATATGTGTGGGTGTACGAACTTTATCAATTTGAAATATAGCAGCTTCTTGTTGATACAAATGAGGTACTTGCCATGGAAATCCACCGAACATATAAATACTCGCTAAAGGTATGTCAGTTAATCCCCAATCAGCAACATGTTCAGACGCACCAGCACCAGAAAGAGCAGCATTAAATCGAGTTGTTTGTGTAATAATCCAATTTGTTAGATACGCACCGTAACTGTATCCGCCAATGGTAAGTTTCGTATAATCAGCAATACCATCGTGTATTAATGCATCGACACCATATAAAATATCTTTAGCTGGTCTAGACACAATTTGATATCGAATACTTCGCAAAAATTCATCACCATAACCTAGATAACAAGTAAAATTTTAAATATGTTACATTATACAAGATCTGACAGACCTGTTGATCCACGATAGTTAGGTTGTAGAACAAGCCAACCTTCAGTAGCCATCATAGCTGCACAATAGTACCAATCAAGACGAAAACTATTTGTATCTGCTTCGTAGGGACCACCATGAATAAGAACGAATAATGGTAAATTTTTCTCTTCAAATTTATCTGGTGGATATAAAAGAATTCCTTCAATTTCCATTTTATCATCTTTATTTATCCATCGATATGATTTGCCTTTAGGTAGATTTCGTTTAGTAAATAATTTATTTTCGCTAGTTACTGGTAAAGCTATATTTAATTGATCAATATTATTAATGAAATATACTTCCTGAGGTTGTTCATACGATGAATGAATGAAAACAATTGTTGAACTATTACCACTAGAAGCTGTAGCAATATTTTCATAAGTTCCATTCCATCCATTTTGTTTAATTAATTCTGAACTGAATGATTGTTGTTTATAAAGTTGAGTTTCGGTACTTAATTGACCGAGTATAACTACACCTTGTCGTCCACCTTCTAATAGAATGTAATCATTTACTTGTCCTTTGAATTGATTTGCCCAACGTTCAATTCGATAGTTACTAATATTTATATGATAAAGTCGTCCTTGACTATCTTCATATTCACTGTCGACTGATCCTTTACCGGTAACTGTAAAAAAAACCAAACCATCAATAGACCATTTTAAATTTTCTTCAATTGCTGAATTATTTGTTAATTTTAATGGATTCGATAACGAAGGATTTGTCAAATCGAGTAAAAATAGTTCATAATCGTGTATACGTTCTAAATTCGATGATGCTGGTTTTGTCGAATATATTAATTGTTTTCCATCAGGTGAACAAATCAATTCATTAACACGATATGAGATATTGACCAATGGTACTATTCTTGTTAATGTCATATTTTCAAGATCAGCTCGATAGATAGTGTCACCTCGATATTGTTCACGGTATTGTATAACATCTTTCCATTCGTTTTTATATGTTTCTTCATCTTCTTCTGACCATGGAGTACGAGTTGCAAAATAAATACTCATCGATGTTGTCGACCAAATGAACGTATGAATAGATTCTTTACCTATCATAAGAGGAACTAGTTGATCTGTACTAATCGAATAAATATGAATATATTGTACTTCGTCAGATGTTTTGACTTTCTTAGCTCGATTTGTTGAATTACTTGTAAGTATTAAGGCAATCAAGTCACCTTTCCATTTCGGTTTAAAACTACTTCCCTGTGTTGTTATTAATTTTTTGTTGTTATCTGATAATGTATGTAAATATAGATGTTCTTCATTAATATTTCGATCCCATATACGATGTAATGTTTGAATAAGAATTGATTGACCATCATCAGGTGCAACAGTTAAAGATGTAAAAGTAGTATAATTAAAAAATTCATCAAGTGTAAATTTTGACTTGGATGATACATTATTAATAAACAATAAAATAATAAAATAATGTTTTAGGATCATGTCTGAACGATCTAAAAAATAAATAGATTCTATTATGAATGAGATATCGAATCTTACTCTTCACATGTTTCTCATAAGCATCGACTAAAGATAAAAACTTTACCTTCGTAAATAAAAATTTTCATTTCTTCACGTATCAACATTTATCTATCGCAGCTGAATCAACATAGAATAAATGTATTAGTCATCCATCAAACTCGACATATACATTCGTGATGAAAAATAAATCTATAAAACAATAGTCCAGTCTAGGGAATGAAAACGAATCAAATTAATATAAGCAAGTGCAGGAGAAAATTGACATAAATAGTCTAACCTTTATGAACTGTTTCATTCTCTTTCTATTCTTCTCAATGTATTAAATTGATAAATATACTCGTCTATTTGTAGACAACATGTTGGTATCATATAATAGATTTATTATTATTCCTGTATAAATTGTGAAAAATTTCTTGTATTCACTTATACTTTTTTTTTTATAATTTTATTGTCACACTCAATAGATACGAAAAATAATATGAAGAATGTCTTACATATGATATCGCATTAGGGTTGTAAAATCTTTTCTTCGGTATTATTTGATTACTAACCATCCCGTATTTTTATGACGATTAATTTTTTGTTGAAATTGATTGTATTTTAGAGAACTCGATCATCGAGATTAACCCTCCGGTGATGTTTGTGGGCCCAAGAGACCCACAACAGTGGTTTTTTGTTTTTTTTTACTTCAAGATCTATGCAAATCGAAGCGATCTTTTCGCTAATCGTTAGTCTTCTAATGGTACATAAGAATCATATAAAATTTTCTTGCAAAACTATCAGCAGTGAAAAACTAGAGTGTGGATCTCCTGACAACATTCGTGTTATATAGATGATTTTAATTCGTATTACGTACACCATCTATTATTTCTAAGGTCTATTCATTGAAGATTGATTAGTTTGTTGCTGCTAGTAAGGAATAATGTGTTTCTCTATCCTTATTTATCTATCGAAATATTTTCACCATTCTCTTAACTTTTGCTCACGATAATCCTAATCTTCTTTTCCTGAAAAATCAGCATATTACGTACACTAGAAGCGTATCAATGCATCAATGACTGAAAAGAGATCATTATATAGACCTTGATCTATCTTATATAGTATATTACAGATGAAATTTCACGTTTTGTTTATGTATTTACATGTGGGTCCACTTGGATCCACATACATCATTCGTGTGACAAAAAGCGAACATCACCGGAGGGTTAATAACCAATAGGAAAATAATTTTCTTATATTGTTAACATAAAAAAATATAGTTCCAAAGCAGTTCGCAAATATCCTTAAATTTAACTTTACTTCAGACAAGTAGTAAGATAAAACAATTTTGTTGTATTCTATAATCAATTTCTACTGAATTCTTTGCTTCTAAGCATTATTCATTAATAATTTCTTTTGAATAATTAAATATAAGTTAAGGGTAATATATGAATCTCTCACCCACACCCTGAAGAATCGTATGTATTTACGATTTATGTGTTGAAATAGATAAAATTTTCTAAGCGCCTCGAAAATTGTTAAATCTTCCGCCACATCATTTATTTTCATTTGATTTTTATTTTAAATGATTCTGGAATAATTCACATTTTTCTGAATCTTAAAAAAATTTTGTGGCACCATCTATCATGATCATGTATGGCATAGTTTAATTATATGCTTTTACGAGCGGATGAAAATCTATGAATGATCTCTGATTGTTCATGTACACAAAACAATCATGATTATCTTGATAGGATATACACAGTTATTCTATTTCTAAATTTAAAATTCATATTTTTTTGACGGCGTTATTCTGTCTTCCAGATGGTTTAGATTGAATATAGAAGAAAATAAATAGTAACCATTTTTTGTTATTTCAATGCACACAGGATGTTTTTTTTCTTTGTAAAAGTACATTAAATATTATGTTTTTCTTTATGTTGATGTGTCCTTATTCGCCGTAGAACTTATTAAGACAAGTTTTTTTCTTCTCGTTCTCTTTTCAGTTGATTCATAGTTGTTCGTTAGCGTAAAACAAACTTGTAATATATTTTGATGTTTCTTCTACGCATAAAAAGCATGATGGAAGTAAAAGAAAAAGAAACGCACACATAATTTTTTTTTCTTGCTCGACATTTATATAATAGACGTATAGAAAAAAGTAAACGCCTATGACTGCGCATAGTAATATTATTACGATATAGTGCTATCAAATCTTCATTATTTCGACAAAAATAAATCAATCTTGTGTTATTCTCGTAAGTCAATCAACTTGACTTGATTATGACAAGAAAAGGAAATTTATATTAGGATTAAATATTTTAAGTCAGATTATTCAAAATTATATAATATATCGTTCAAATTATAAACAAGAAGTTAAATATATAATGTTTTCTTTTTATAGATCATGGCAACAACAGAAACAACTTTAATATCGAATATACAATATTGTAATATAATATCGTCCGATGAATACCTTAATTTTGATGAGTTATTCTCGTCATCTCTCGATGTTATTTTTAACGACGAATATGACAGTGATTTAATTTCATATGATGATGCAATAAAAACAGAGGAAAATGAAGAAACATCATCACCTATGGTAAAATTATTATTATACAAAAATAACTTACAAAGAGTAGTATATGATACTATTCATTTTCTTTAGTCATTAGAGAAATTAGTTGTAACGGAAATTACAAAAATGAGTTAGTAGTTATCAACTATTCCTGCAGTTTCTTTTTTTAAATTTAATCAAAGATTTTTTTTTAATACTTAAAAGTTGTTAGGCGACATCTTGAGAGTATTTCAATCGAAGAAATATGAATTCATTTTTTTTTTATTTAGATAAATCAATGTCAAATAGAAAAATTATCAACAAATAATTTAGCTATAGAATATCATTTACCAAATCTTATTTGTCGTGTTTGTGGTTCCCCGGCACATGGCTATAATTTTGATCAAATCACTTGTGAATCATGTAAAGCATTTTTTCGTCGTAATGCTTTGAAAGATATGGTAAATAAATTAATCAGTAAAATTTGTTTAATGTAATAAGAAAATTTTTAGGCTAATATAAAATGTCGTTTTACCGGTACATGTCTTATTACTAAACAAACACGACGTCAATGTACGTATTGTCGATTAAAGAAATGTTTTGATATAAAAATGCGTAAAGATTGGATTCGTACTGAAGAAGAACGTAAATTAAGACGACTACAAGATTCAGCAAGAGAAAAAAAGAAATCGATTAATGATAAACAACCTCTTAGTAATTATCCAATTGTTATACGAAGGAAAAAACGTTTAACAGCAATATTAGAACAACTTTCTATTCCAACAGTAAATACCATTTAATGAACATATATATTAATAATCTCTTTTTCTTTATGTTTTAGTTTAATATCCTAAATAATTTTTTTACCTTAAATCGAAATTTATCTGAGGATAATCGAGCTTTATTAAATAATATCACAATTTCTTTTCAATCGAGTACTAATCATATCGATGGTTTCCGTATAAATAAAACTACAGTACCTGCATGTCTAGTAGAATATCTGAATGGTGAAAGTCTTGCATACGAATCATTAATTTGTTTTTATAAACGTATACCGGAATTTAAACAATTGGATTTATCAGATCAAATTCTATTAATAAAACGTAATCAACTTGATGCTATGCATGTACATTATATATTAGTACGAAATTTTCAAGAAAATTTATTAGTTGGAAAATTAATGACAAAATGGGTAAATGCAGAATTTCATCAAGAAATGTCACGAACACGTCATTATTTCGATTATTTTATCGAACATCCAATCATATTGAAATTATCACTTATCGTTCTTGTATTTAGTATGAGTTTATCTGTACCACGCTATAATGATCAATTTATTGATTATCAAAATCAAAAAAAAATTTATGAAAATCAAAATTATTATATATCATTACTTTGGCATTATTTAAATCATGTATTTGGAGAAGTAGAAGCAATTCGATCATTACAAGTTATAGTTACACAAACGATACGTTTTCAAACATTAATGTATAGATTTGAGCAAGCCATACAACGGGATAGAAATCGTTATACATTCAATCAATTAATGCAAACTATAATTCAATTTAAATAATGAAAAATCTATGGAATTTTAACAATAAAAATTATTGCTAAATATTTTATTGTCTAATTTCCATTTGAATTTTAACAATACATATAGCAGATGAGACTAAAATAAATTAGTTAAACAATATTAAAATATTCAGCTACTTTTACAGGATTACATTCTCAATAGTATTCAGATTTTTTTAATCTTCAACTTATCTAAAAATACTTTTTCTTGAATTTATATATCTGTGGATCAAATAGAAGTTTTCATAGGTTCATTTCTTCGAAATGTGAACATACATCCAGCAGGAATGAGGATATAGGCGACGACCACGACAATGTCGCCCCATATCTTAATTAACCAATATTTTGTTTTGTGTTGTAGCTGCAACTATTTATATATTGTGGTATTTTTGGTAGAAGTTGAATAATAAAATATCTAGCAATAATTCTTGTAGTTGGAATTCCAGTTAATCGTTTACAAATATATACTAATAAAATTAATTTATTAATCTATGTTTTAATTTTGTATTAGGAAAAAATTTTACCATAATATTACTAAATACCAATGGGCGAAGAGTAAGATGATATAACATCGACATCTACATCTTCCAAAATGAATCTATTCTTTAGAATTTGATTCATTACGTGAGTAAAAGCTTGATAAAATAGGCTCACTCGCACCTTCTGCAAGTTTTGAACCACGACAGACCGAAACTTACGTATTGTTTTGATCTAAATGAGTCTGTTTAGGTGTAAGAAAGGATTCTTGTTCATGGACAAATGGAATTTAACATGGTTTAAAGTAAATATTATATTTTCGTCTATTAAAAATAAATTATAAAATATTACAAAGTGCTCATCAAATATGTTCAAATGATGATGAATTTGTTTCATCATTAATCATAACTGGTTCATATACATGACCACCATTCCAACGTATTGTACTATGATTGAATCAATTAATGGATATATACAAAGATTGTGTTGATATACTATACCAGTTTATATTGGAGAAGCACATGCAACAGATAAATGGTCAATAGGTAGTCGAATATTTTATGTTCAATCAAAATGTGATACTGATTGAATTAATATTACAAAAGATTTTATTAAATCAACAGAATATCAAGTTCGATTATTAATTGATCCAATATCACTTGGTCATCCATTTAGTAAAGTTTATAGTTCATGGCCAGTTCAATTTTATATAATTAATTATTTTGAAAATATTTAGTTATATTGCAGAACCAGTCGAAGAATTATATCCATTTGAATTAATTATAAAAGCATTAGATCATCAAACGTTACTGTGATATTTAAAATGAAAAATGATGTTTTTCTTTGAAAGTATAATTATTATACAGAAGAAAAACTGATATAAGTAATTAAGTTATGACTCAAAAGCATGAAACACGAAATAGTATTTTGTCATATCAATTATTTTAAGAGTTCTCGATTATATCAAAAATAAAAATCACTTTTAAACTTAATAATATCGACAATTCTCTTATTAAGACTAAATTATGCATTCTGACGATATATGAAAGTGATAGATGAACACTATGTAGATCTTAGTAGTGTTAAAGGTTACTTATTTCGCTCGTAGCTCCTCAGACTAGTCACTTAATTTTGAGAGTGTGAATGAATCGAGATTAATCGTATGACACTCACACCCACACCCGTAATTTATATTTATATTAATAGAAATCTACTGGACTAAAAGATATTATTTATTTTTCAACAGATACTTGAATTTTCATTGAACAATTTTTAGAAGGGTATAAGAGTGACTTCCTCGTTTATCATTATTCTCATAACACCACTCACATCTTCGAATATACTTTCTCCTAAAGAATCAGCAGTAGTTTATTTATTTCCAAAGGGAGAATTTTATTGATTCTTCATAAATAATGATCTTGTTCAGAACAGATCAGAGAAAAATAATGAAGCCTATGAAACTTTTCTGTATTGTCTTATATGTTCAAAACTAATGTTTTGAACTTTGAGTAATCGCAATAAATATAGTTCTATGCATTTAGAAAAGTTTCATAACTAGAAATGTTATTATTAAATAACGAGTTACTGTCCAATGTTTGAATATAAATGTATTTATCATTAATATCCATAGTTGCAAAGTTTTGTTTAAATTCTTAATAATAAGTGAAGCTAAAAACAGTTTGGATCATATAATGTTTTACAAGCGTAATATTTTCAGTAGATTAGTAAAATGCTAATGAATAAATAAATGTTAATCATCAGTAAGCCTTAACAATGTAATAGAACACCGACGTTGTTCGAACCTTGGTTTACAACAATAATATCAGGTTTATTGTCGTTATTCACATCGACGACTGCTACTGAGTATGGATTAATACCAACTGAGTAAATAGTTTGAGCATTAAAGGTGCCATTGCCTGCGTTAAGAAGTACACCGACGTTGTTCAAACCAGAGTTTGTAACAATAATATCAGGTTTATTATCGTTATTCACGTCGACAGCTGCTAATGAGTGTGGATCAGTGCCAACTGTATAAGTAGTTTGAGTATTAAAAGTGCCGCTGCCCGCATTGAGAAGAACACTAACAGTGCTCGCATCATAATTCGCAACAATAATATCAGGTTTATTGTCGCTATTTACGTCGACGACTGCTAATGACCGTGGATTAGAACCAACTGTATAAGTAGTTTGAGCATTAAATGTGGCATTGCCTGCGTTGAGAAGAACACCGACGTTGTTCAAACCAGAGTTTGCAAAAACAATATCAGGTTTATTGTCGCTGTTTACGTCGACTGCTACTACTGACCGCGGATTAGTGCCAACTGTATAAATAGTTTGAGTGTTAAAAGTGCCGCTGCCCGCATTTAGAAGAACACTAATAGTGTTCGCATCATAGTTTGCAACGACAATATCGGATTTATGGTCGCTGTTTACGTCGACGACTGCTATTGACCGTGGATTAGAACCAACTGTATAAATAGTTTGAGTATTAAAAGTGCCACTGCCTGCATTGAGGAGAACACCGACGGTGCCCGAACCAGAGTTTGTAACAACAATATCAGGTTTATTGTCGCTGTTCACATCGACAGCTGACACTGATACTGGGCTAGCACTAACTGCATAAGTAGTTTGAACATTAAACGCGCCATTGCCTGCGTTGAGTAGAACACCGACATTGTTCGAATCAGAATTTGTAACAATAATGTCGGATTTATTGTCGCTATTCACGTCGACGACTGCTACTGAGTATGGAGTTGAGCCAACTGGATAATTCGTTTGATTAAGAAAATAGTTGCAGGCTATTAAAAACAAAAACTCTTTTTAGCATCTCGAATGGCGTATTGACAAAAACCGATCGTTGAATTGTATAGGATTTACCTAACGTGCCCTCGGTTAGCGCTAAGGCGATGAAGAGAATCGTGTAGCCTTTTTTTTGAATAATTTTTGATACTTAAGTCTAACCGAAATAATTTTTTATTCCATGCTATGACTCTCCAGGATGTGGGTATTACATTAACCATACTCTGACACCTACACCCTCGTGAAACTATTTCTCTTTTCAACAACAGACGTAAGCACTAGGTATTTAATCCAACACTCACCAGTTGTTGTTGATGTTGTTGTTGATGTTGTTGACGACGTTGATGTTGATTTTGATGTTGTTGTTGTTGTTGATGTTGTTGTTGTTGTTGATGTTGTGGTTGATGATGATGTTGAGGTTGATGGTGTTGATGTTGTTGACGACGTTGATTTTGATGTTGTTGTTGTTGTAGTTGTTGTAGTTGTTGAAGTTGATGTTGATGAGGTTGATAATGGTGAGGTTGATGATGACGTACTCGGTTCTGTTTCAAAAATTGGGGTTAACATGAGACAAGAAAATTAGATTAGGCTTCGTTAAGAATCTAGCACTTCTCGCTTCACTAACCCGGTTCATTTTTAGTGGATAATCTCATTCTGAGGACAGATACTAATGATTAGTGAATACTACAAATTACATTCAGTAGAAAAAATCATCGATAGAGGCAAATTTTTTTAGAATTTAAAAAGTATAAACATCAAATTCATTCAAATTATTGGAATTTGGGTTTATAAATAGTTATGATATTTTTGTAGTAGTGCGAAATGAAGCCTTACGATATTCTAGAGTATTTAATATTGTTATTGATGATTGATTAAGAAATATAAAAGTAGAATTTAAATATAATTCAATAAAAATTGTACTAATATTTGAGCGAAATAATTGGCACGTTTGATTTGTTGAAAAATAATTCAAAGCAGATATTGAATCATTTACTTTTATCATTTCACATATACATTGATTTTCTGTTATATTGAATAAATTCTTATACATATCACCAACTATTATATAACTCTGGATTTTACCAATAAGAACAGAATTACAAACAGAAAATAAAGATAAAATAAATATTACCCAAAACATGTTGTATTTCTTTAGTTTCTAAAATATTTTATGAATGTTTGACTAACTCTTATTATTAGTTTTTTTCTTTTATTTTCTACAATACTCTTTCTCTGTAATTTAATAATTATTTATTTCAGAAAAAAAGCACCATACGTTTTGCAACAGGTTTCTTTTTCCCAAAAAAATTACATCTTTGACTACATTATGTTATTGTTATTCCTTTAACCATTTAAAGGATTGAATTCGCCACCATCAAGATATTAACAAAAGAAAAAAAATCTAAATAGTTGTTCTATGTTCAGATTACTCTGTTTTTAATTAAAATGTCCTTTTAAAGTATTTTCTAAATATCAGGAAAGACAGAAGAAAAAGTTCTGATATCAACAAATGACGTCTTCTATACGCTAAATAAACACATTTGTCCGATGAAAAAAAATTGTCTCTGTTCATTTTAAATAGATTTAATGTAAGCGTTGACAACAACAGAGATAAGCACATAAATTCTACTGTTTTTTATTCATTTTGTCGATCACGTCGAAAATATAATCTTATTTATAATATTTTTCTCTTGCATATTTAAATGTAGCCTCTTGATCATCTGTAATGAAATATATTATAATAGAAAATCAACATTAATTTTTGATTGAGTGAATATAACATTGTTTTCTATAAGAACATATAATTTTTTGATCATTAATAGGTTTCCTTCAATTATAATTCATGAATTCACTCGAAAAACTAGAGAAAGTTCAGCTAAAATAGTGTCCATCCTATAAAAATTGTTTTAGTCAAAGATGTTGATATTTGTCTTGAACATCATTCATAACATACACTGTTTTAATCATCCTTCCTTCTATGGAAATGGTAATCGCTTCGTTTGATTCTAAATAAATGATATTTCTTTCTTTCTTTTTCCTCGTGTCATTTTTTTCTCTTCATTTGCGTCATCTACTTTTAAGTCATTAGAAGAGGATCGGTGGAATGCGATAAAAATGAAAGAAAGACCGTCGATTGTTAATGTTTAAGATTTTTTTATTATCGTTTTGTCATGTTCTTCACAATATCATTTTTATTAGCAACCATCTTTTTTATTTTTTTTTGTTATTCTTTTAAATTACAGATGAAAAAAAACTGCCAGTGACACATTTAATATGAGTCAGCTTTTTCTTTGTGTTGTCATGGAACCTATTTGTACATATTTTGGGATAATAGACCCTATGATTAATAAACTAAAGTTTACATAATAATGTATGCATTGTCCTTTCGCACATATGCTATTATATATTGACAATATGAAATGCCATACTTATATAAATGTATGAGCGATGAGCGTGGCCATGGTATCGCTGGGTCCGGCAGTGAAAAATACATACGAGTCGAGTTCTACTCGACCGATTTTAGTAATTATTTCTAATTAGTCCCGCGATGATTATTCACTTCTGAAAAAAATCAAGTTTCTAGATCGTTTAGTTTACTAGAGATCTCTTCAACAATGTCAAATACTTAGCTGTTGTCGCCATCTGTTAGAAGAAGATCAGTTTTTCTTAAAATGCATTACAATTTTTTTGAAATTATTTTCTTTGTTAGAAATGTAGAACTCATCAAGCGCTTTCAGAATATATTAAGATTTTTGGCTTTCGACAAAGTTTTATGAATAAAAAATTCACGACAATGAGAGTCAAGACACTTTCCATTTTTGTGTAGAGTGACATTGATATAATCGATTATATTTCGATTGAAACAAATTTGATAGTGTATCAAAGAGAGAAACTAGGAAAAATATTTTAAAATATAAAGATGGATTGCTTCACAAGCTTTATTAAATACAAGATTTTTGTATTCAATCGAAAAACTTATGTTCATGATATATAAAATGTGTTGACTTAGTTTTGCATCATGAATCTCGAGCACATCGTAGAGAAGTGTTGGGATGAAGAGTGTGAACTTCCACCAAATTATTGCTTATATGAATAGTTAATTTTTACCTGCATATTCAGTTATATATGGTTTTTTCAATTTGTGTATCAGATCTTTGTTAATTGATTCATTATATCTACCTCGGTGGACATATTCACTTACTATATTTAAGTTATCTCTTGTAATGAGATCTTGAGAATGTGGATGTTAATAAAAAAATCTGACGGCCAAATCCATATTATTATATACTCTCAACTCGATAGTTTCACTAATTTCCACTATGTAGGAATATAAATTCTAGTTTTATTGAAACATTGTGTTGTGTCTATTGACAAAAAAGTTATAGACATTTAAAAAAAGAATCTGAAACAGCGGTATCTACAAAATATGAATGATAAACTAAATTATTAATCATAATTTTAATGAATTTTATTGATTATTAATGAAAAATACTTTACAAGTGACACAAAAGAATTATTTATTGAAAGTCATTTTATCGACAAAAACTTGTTTTAGTTAAGATCAATGACAAATTTTTGTATTCGATGGTTGCCTCTATCGACAACATAAAGATTACCCTGTTTATCAAATGATAAATCATATGGATATGTGAGCTGCGTGAGACCACTTCCCCCCTGTTTTTCACCAACGATAGAAGTACCTTCTAATTCACCTGGCGACCAACGCGTTATTTGATGACTTTCCCCATTCGACACATATATATTACCTATATGATCAACCATCACACCTCTGGGTTGAGACAGTCTCGTAAGATTGTTGTCAGCAATTAGCCATGGAGCACTAAGAATGCCTTCGGTTGCATTTTTCATCCATTTCATCACACGATTATTCAGAGAATCCGCTACATAAACTGAATGATATTCATCGACAAAGATATAGTTAGGTTCATTAAATTGATTAAGTTGATTTCCTTTCCCATTTCCACCTGCTATAACTGTACCTATTGTATCTCCCTGCTGCCAACGTAGAATTTGATGATTTCCCCAATCAGAAATATAAAGATCTCCATTATTATCCATTGCTAAACCGTAGCAAACAATACGAGGTATCAATATTTGTTGATCCTGACTATTTTGAAGAGACCATTGCATCACTCGTATGTTGCGATGATCACAAATAATGAGATATTTCTTTTCTTCATCAAGAATTACATCCACTGGATAATTCAATTGATCTATTGCAGGTCCAGGTCCTTTTCCGCCTGCAACAATTTCTCCATTGTTTGCATCAAATTCCCATCTGACAATACGATGGTTCTCAGTGTCAGCAATATAAACACTATCATCATCATCATCATTATTAACATAAATACCATAAGGAGCATTTAATTGATTTAATTCACTACCTCGTCCATGTCCTCCAGCAATAGTAACTGCATTCTGTTTCCATTTTGTATTGTTATTAATAATAACAGAAGGAAGTGATTGTTCTATAAAATATTAAAAAAAGATTTCAATTTTGTTTTCTTTTGATCTAAAAATTATTTCTTAAAAATAAAATCTATTTTGTTTTATTGAACATAATGTTTCGATGTCACTACAGATAAATTACGCGAATGTAGATGTGGGTGTAGATGGATGAGCTATGAATTCGATATAATATTCTCATTCACCTTTTAGTGTGAACCTTTTGATATTATCCTATAAAAATATGTTGTATGACTATCAATTATCAGAGATTAAACTATTTTAAGTCATTATTCGAATAAAATATTTAAGATTGAATAAAGAAACACTGCTCTTAAAACTAATTTCTCTTTTATGAATTATCTCAGGTAAGAAACAAACTAGTTTTCATAAAATCATACCGCTTGTTGTTGTTGTTGCTATTATTATCTTTGTTGTTGTTGTTGTTGTTCCCTTTGCTGTTGTGGTGTGTGTTGCGGCTACTGTTGTTATTTGTGCTGTTGTTGCTGTTGCTATCGCCGCTGTTGTTCTCTCTGCTGTTTTCGCTGTTGTTGTTATTGATGTTGATGTTGCTATTATTTCTGATGTTGTTGCTGTTGTTAACATTTTCTCTGCTTTCGTTTTATTCATCATGACAATAGTTGTTGGAATAGCTATAATTGCAACAATACAAATAATGGAAAATATTATCCAGATTAGTTTTCTCCTTCGAAAATGTTCATATCTAGAATAACAAATTCTTTTCATAATTTATTCTAATTCTTACTATATACATACAGTGTTCTTGATCGTGTTGTATTAGGGTTAACTACTGCAGACTAAAATATTCAAAAAGAAAATAAACTTATTTTTTTTTATTTAATATATTACTTCATTAAAACTAACTCTGTTATTCATGCTCATAGTTGTTATTCTATTAAAACTTGAATATTTTTACTATCTAAAATAAACAACAAAAACTCTTTTTTCTTCAAAAATCATTTATTAATATCAATATAATTATAAAAAATATAAATTATCTCATTAAACACTATTTTGTATTTATGAGATTTCCTTTTTCATTAATTAATCCATTTAAATTAAAATAAAATAATGCTAGAATTAAGTTTTGATTTACTGAGGATGTGGGATGCGGTTATGGATGGATAAAGAAAAGAGATATCCACAGTCCCATCTTATACCCACACCCTCACCCACACCCACACCCACACCCACACCCACACCCACACCCACACCCACACCCACACCCCTCAAGAATAGACATTTATTTATTTGTTTTCGTTCTATGATTTGCATGCGCACATATATTTAAATATCTATTAATGCACACTTATACATCTATGCCTGTGTCACGGAGTGATCATAGTTCACTCTCGTGATCCTTCTTCATTTCTTCCTCTTCTTCACACTTGTCATTGCATCATCCTGTGACGTCATATTCTAGTGACATCTCATACATTTCATCATCTTGTTCACTATGTTCCCTGGATGATTCATCATCTTATGTTCTATCTATTTTTCCTTCTTCTCGTTTCATCATCTTGTTCATTGTGTTCTCTGGATGATTTCATCATCCTCGTGTGGACTATATATAGCCACTGACTTTTCAATAAAAGACATGTCTTCCACCTCATCTTCATCTCTTCGTCTTCGGTCATATCTCTAACATTTGGTGCACTGGCCGATTCGTTGTCAGTTCAACAACACGACGAATAAGATTTTATCAAGGTGACAACTACCATCATTAAATAATGACAAAGTCGAATAAAGTCAAAGCAGAGGAAGACGGTCAACAAACCACATATACATTGGATATGCCGAATAAAGATCTGGTATTTCAATCACAAATTAATACAATTGAACCATTTACAGGGAAATCAACACAAAATGCACAACAATGGATTTCACATGCTACTAATGTATTACAAATACAAGGATTCAACGATACACATGAATTAACAAATTTATTAAGTGGATTCCTTGATGGAGAAGCCCTGAACTGGTTTCAGGATAACAAAGCAACACTTACTGAATGGAAAGAGTTATACACGGCTCTTACCCAACGATTTCCATCACCACCATCATTCACCAACACCTTTGAATATTTTCAACAGCTATCCAACCGTCGACAAGGTCTTGATGAACCAACTGCCGATTATTATGCACATGTATTGAAATTATGCAATAAATACAATCCATTAATGTCAGATGCTGAACGTGTTGATCATTTGAAAAAAGGATTACGACCTTCTCTACTTGAAAAAGTTCTTGATCGTGATCCAGTCAATCCTGCTCAATTTATAGCAGTGGTACTCAAGGCAGAATCAAATCAACGTATTCTTCAAGTACAAGTCGAAACTGGTCCAACATCAAACAACAACAACATCACAAGCTTCACATCTGATCGACCTCAACAAGTATCCAATTTTCACAATCAACGATCATACGAAGAACCACGACAACCTCGACAACAACGATGGTCTAATCACCAACAACAACAACAGCAACACAAGCAGAATGGATCGTATGGCGGTCCAACATGTTACACATGTGGAAAAAAAGGACATATTTCACCTGCTTGTCATTTAAACTGGGCATGAGGCCACGAGATGGTCGTGTCCTCCTTTTAAACAATAAATATCCATCACTCACTTATATACGTCTACCTGTAAATAATAGAACCATGAGAGTGCTCATCGATACTGGTTCTACACATTCTTTTATTCGAGCATCTATTTTAGGTTTAATTAGACATGGTCCGATACAAACAAACATGATTGATCTTTTTATGGCTGATGGTCATACACCTTTTCCTGTCCTTGGTGAAGTATCGTTAAATTTCAACATCAAGAATATTCGTACAAAAAACAAAGTATTGGTTGTGAAAGAATTATGTTGTGATTGCCTGGTTGGAATTGATTGGATTAGGAATAACTCGGTTACACTTGACATTTACAACCAACAACTAACTGCACGTAGTGGTAATCGACAAGCTACAGTTAAACTGGAGACCGACATGGAATCTATTTCATTTCCAGTTCGTTCAATAAATAAAATAATGATTCCACCTTATCAACAGGTAATAGTTAAAGCTCATGTACCTATTTCATCTTCACAGAAAACATTATTTACACCTCGACCACATCTGGAATACAATAAATCAATTGAATTACCATCAGCAGTTCTCAACATTCAACATTACACAACATATTTGACTATATCAAATCCTACGAATCGTCGTTGTATCTTGGCACCAAATACTCGACTTGGTGATGTGATCCAAATGGGTTCAGCTTTTACATTATCAACTATCACTCGTTCAATGTGTCCTACATCATCACCGAACAACATCATACAAACACCACCACCTGAATCTATAACATCTATTATCAATAATCTGACACAACACATTCCAAGTTTAAACGATGATCAACATAAATTAAGGACCATCTTAACGAAGTATTCAGCAATTTTCGACACAGTTAATCCAAGAATTGCCGACACAACATCTGTACACACCATAAGAACTGGCGATGCCGCCACACAAAACTCCCGTGCATATCCTCAGAACAATGAACAACGTACAGAAACTGAGAAGATAATCGACAAGATGCTACACGCCAAACAAATCCGCCCCAGCATTTCACCATGGTCCTCACCAATGTTGTTGGCACGTAAAAAAGATGGAAGCTTCAGATTTGTAGTAGATTATCGTAAACTCAACGCAATTACGACCAAAGATGCCTATCCGATGCCAACAATTGAAGAAACACTACAAAAGCTAGGTGGTAATACATTCTTCACCAAAATGGATTTAGCTTCTGGTTATTTCCAGATCCCTATAAGGGAAGAAGATAAACCAAAAACAGCTTTTACAACTGGGCGTGGTCTGTACGAATTCAACGTGTTGCCGCAGGGGCTGCGAAACGCCTCTGCGAGCTTCCAAAGAATTATGAACACAATACTAGTTAACAAACGAGAATCATATTGTATTGTATATATGGATGATATCCTCATTTTCTCCAAGACATTCAATGATCATTTACAACATGTCGAGGAGATTATGGGGATATTGGACAAACATCGTTTCACTGTGAGTCCAGCCAAATGCAGCATGGCTCAATCAAGTATCGACTATCTTGGCCATTCAATATCTGGGGAGGGTGTCACTCCGCTCGGTGACAATATGGCACCGATTTTAACAATGCCAGAACCCCGATCATTAAAAGAAGCTAATCTTTTTATTGGTGGTTTAGGCTTCTATCGACGTTTCATTAAGGATTTCGCCAAGTTAGCGGCGCCAATATATGCAGTTACGAACAAAAGCAAGGCACGTCGTGGTGAATTCTACTGGGGTGATAAACAAAGTGCAGCTTTTCAATCTTTGAAGAAAGCTTTAACATCAAAACCATTATTTCTCCATTTTCCGGAACCAAATCAACCACTTCTTCTATCTACTGATGCATCGGACAATCGGATTGGAGCCGTTCTCAAGCAAAAATCTGCCGACAACAAATTACATGTTATCAGTTATTTTTCACAAATGTTATCCACCACTCAACAACGATATTCAACGATTGAAAAAGAAGCGTTAGCAATTCATACTGCACTTGAGAAGCTTCGTCCTTATGTTATTAACCACGAAGTGACCATTGAAACTGATCACTGTCCATTATGCAATTTCCATCGACGTACTACACGCAACAGACGGATTGATTTTTGGTCTATTGATCTTGCCGATTACAACATCAAGGAAATCAAATACAAGAAAGGATCCTGTAATTGCGATGCAGATTTACTAAGTCGATATCCAATTAATGCATCAATTGGAGCAATCACACGATCAATGACTCGAAAGGTTACCACCTCCAGCAGTCCATCTCCATCATCAGAAGTATCAATCAAAAGTCATCCAACACTCACAGACAATAATTCACCACAGGTACGCATTTCACCTATTGATTTAAGTAGAATTCGTGAAGAGCAACAACATGATGACCTGATTCAAGAAAAGATGAAAAAACCTGACAAATACTCAATCATTAAAGATGGCATTTTGTTTCGACAATGTAAAAACAAATCCAAGGTACCTTTCCTACCAAAATCACTCATCAAAGAAGTTTTACAAGCTTTCCATGATCACTTATCTGCAGCTCACTTCGGTCGAAATCGAACATACACCAACATCACCAAACGTTGTTACTGGCCCAACATGTACCTGGATATCAAGAATTATGTTCGTTCATGTGATACTTGTGCACGTCATAACATTCCACGCAACAAACCACCTGGTCATTTACAATCAATACCTCCACCAGAAGGAATCTTCGATTTAGTTGGATTAGATTTTTGGGGTCCTGCTAGTGAACCATCAACAAACGGCAACAAATACATTTTGGTACTGACTGATTATATGTCCAAATTTGTAATAGCACGTGCAACTCCACACAACAATGCCCAAACTGTAGCAGAATTTATTGTAGAAGTAGCCAGCACATTTGGAGTGCCAGAACAACTTCTGACTGATCAAGGAACTCACTTTAACAATGAACTTGTCAATACAATTGCTCAATTACTTGGTTGTCATCATACTCTATCCACGGCCTACCATCCTCAAACAAATGGACAGGTGGAACGATGGAATGCCACCATGCGTCCTCAACTCAACAAACTTACTTCACAACAACCGGCTGACTGGGACAAGTACTTATCTGCTGTGGTTTCAGCATATAATAATGGTAAACATGACACAACTGGTATAACCCCATTCGAACTTATGTTTGGGAGAAATCCATCAATGGTTTTCGATCCTACCAAACCCATGGTTCAATTATCCAAACCATCAGATTATCTGGTACATATGCGTACTTTTAGAGCAATTCAGATTCAATCAGCCAGATCCAATACTCAAATCCAACAAGTACGCATGAAACAACGCTATGACAAATCCCGTTCTAATCCTCGATATGATCTCAATGATTTAGTTTTGGTCCGAACACCTCCTCCACAACGACATAAAGGTGCTGAAATCTATCAAGGACCATATAGAATCATCCAACTTATTCACTCGAATACATATATTGTTGAACAAGTACATACTGGTGATCAACGACGAGTGCATACAAGTATGCTCAAACCGATCTTCGAACGTATCTAAACTTTACACTGTTCATTAACCGGTGCATTATCATCTCAAATAGGTCCACAACATGGCAGCATTGGTGGCAACAATGTTGCACGGCTTTAGTCGCATTTCTTCAGGACCACAATATCTCTCTCATGTTTTCTACTCACTACTTCTTTGTTCTTCTATCTAGTCATTTTTTTTTTTTTCATAATTGTTCAACTTTTGTGTGGGGGAAGGTGTCACGGAGTGATCATAGTTCACTCTCGTGATCCTTCTTCATTTCTTCCTCTTCTTCACACTTGTCATTGCATCATCCTGTGACGTCATATTCTAGTGACATCTCATACATTTCATCATCTTGTTCACTATGTTCCCTGGATGATTCATCATCTTATGTTCTATCTATTTTTCCTTCTTCTCGTTTCATCATCTTGTTCATTGTGTTCTCTGGATGATTTCATCATCCTCGTGTGGACTATATATAGCCACTGACTTTTCAATAAAAGACATGTCTTCCACCTCATCTTCATCTCTTCGTCTTCGGTCATATCTCTAACAGCCTGCATATATATGTCGTAGGCCATTGCTGGATTCAGGCCAATCCTAGATTGGCCTAGGCTATTCTAAGATCTCAGTTTGGCCTGACTCAAACCAGAATTAAGTCGAGATCTGATATCAAAACTCACTTTTGATCCTGAAGATAATTTCATATCTCGGTTTACTTATTCGAAAACTACAGCCAAATGGGTATACTTCATACACAATTCATTGCATTTAGAGCAAAATTGTCTACTAACAAAGTTATTAATAGTTTTTTGCAAAACCTGGATTCATGGATGAAAGTGCTTATATCTTTTTAAATAGATAATCTTGCTCAGAATGAAATGGTTTGTGTCCAAATTATACCCATTTGATTATAGTTTTCGAATAGGCAAACCGAAATCTGAAATTATCTTCAGGACCAAAACTGAGTTTTGATCTGAGATTTTGACTTGATCCTAGTTTGAACTAGTCGAAACTGAGATCTTAGAATGACCTAGGCCAATCCGAGATTGGCCTGAGTACTAGATTGGCCTACGACATATACATACATACATAGATGCACGGATGGCTGCACACATCATATATATCAATATGTAAAAAAATATTTAGGCATCTATTTAAAAAAAAATTTTTTTTAGATATGTATGTGGTAAGATGATAAGAAATAAATGCTTAATTTGTAGTTTCTTTTTTGTCAAATTTCGAGTTTTCAAGAGATTTTAGTGAAATTTTCTGTCTTTTTAATAGAAAATGGTATTAAACGTAGATGGAGAAGATACAGGATAGTTTCAAAATTGATAGAATTTATTAGTCATATTTTAGACTAAAATGTCTACAGAATCTTTCGGCGTCTTTGTGGAACAGTCGACGATCACCAAAAAACAATGTTCCCATCGAATACGGCAATTTTTTCATGAGAAATATCACATGATAGTCTTGAATCAGAAAAAATAGTAAAACAGTTTCGGACCGAGAATTCAATGGAAATCTGTATTATCCTAACAGAATTTTTCTATTGTTTCAGATTTGATATAATAAACAACTAAATGGGTGATCTTATTCAGAACGACGATTCTGCTGAAATTCAGAACAATGGTAACTATCAGAGATAAGAATCAAATACATTATTTAGGTAGCGACAGTTCGAGTTCATGTAAATGGAATTAATAAAGATGAGAGAGATTTATAAAGATAAATATCTTTTTTTTCTAAATAATTCTTAGAGATATTCATATTATAGGAGAAGAAGAACAAGTTGAAGAATACGTTGAGCCACCACGCGAAAAGATTGACGTGGAAGCACTCATAACTGAGAACGGTGATTGTCCAACATTGAATTTAATGATGAAAAATTTAAATGCTGATGAGGCAAAACTTCTTATGGAATTATTAAAAAACAATACGGTGAGAAAATAAACTTTTATTATAGAAGTATGTCAGATACATTACAATATTGATACAGATTTCGAGTATATCATGTACACTTCTTTATATATAGACAATTACTTCACTCGATCTTTCACTTAATTGGATTGGAAACGAAGGAGTTCAAAGTGTAGCTGATGCATTAACTAATAATACAGTAAATTTATTAATTTGTTTAGATTTTATTTTAATTTTTTTATTACAGACATTGACTGAGATCAATCTCGGTTGTGTTGATTTTGATGCTGATACTGCTAAACATTTTGGTGGTGTCTTAAATAATAATAAAGTAAATTGATTTCTTTTATATCTATTAAATTATTCTATTGACTCTTCATTCAGACACTTAACACACTTAAACTTTGCGGTTGTGGATTTGGACCCGAAGGAGTTAAACATATCGCTGATGCTCTACGGAATAATACAGTAAATATCATGATTTATTTTTAACATCTTCATTGTATTTTGTCTAGACATTAACTACACTCGATCTAGGATTGTGTAAATTGGAAAATGAAGGAGTTCAATATTTAAGTGATGCTTTACAAAATAATACTGTAAGTTTCTTTTGTTTCTTCTCTTAATCTCATTCATTTTTCCATTCAGACATTGACATCACTTGATCTTAAAGAAAATGAAATAAAAACTGAAGGTATAAAGATTTTAGCTGATGCTTTACGACATAACAAGGTAAATATTTCTCTTTTGTATATCTCAACCTTCACTTTTTCTTCTTATAAAGGGACTTAAAAAACTTTCCCTTGAATCAAACAACCTTGGAGGATCAGAAGTTCAATATCTGTCGGATATGTTACGAGATAACACGGTAATTTTTATTTTCATTCATTTTCCCATTCATTTTTTTTCTCCTTCAGACAATAACAACACTCGTTCTTAATGAAAATGAAATTGAAGATGAAGGTTTACAACATTTAGCTGATGCCTTACGAAATAATAAAGTGAATATGAGTCTAGCAGAGATAAATTGTTTGCTTGATTGTATGTCCACAGGGTCAAAAAAACATCGAAAATCAATTTTTCACGATTTTCATTTGTTTTTCCGGTAAATATGAAGAAAATGCATTTCTACGAGAAAGAGCGTTACTTGTATTTAATTATATTCTAATTTCTTTGTATAGACATTCACTACACTTGAAATTCAAACGTGTAATATTGGAGATAAAGGAATTGAATCTTTATCTGATGCTTTACGAACTAATACAGTAAGAAAAAATTTTATTTTTATTTAAATAAAAATATATTTAAATTTAGACATTTTCATCACTAAATACTTCGTATAATAACTTTGGAGAAAAAGGATCAGAATATTTAATTGATGCTTTACGAAATAATAAGGTTTTATTTATTTTATTTATTTTGTTTATTTTTTTATATTTTAATTCAGACAATCAAAGAAATTACTTTTGATGATAATCAATTTGGAGATACAGCTATACAATATTTATCTGAATTTTTAACAAATAATCAAGTAAATAGATTTCGATATTTTTATTATAATTTTATATTTTTCTTCAGACATTGAATAAATTGGCTCTTTGCAAGAATAAAATTGGAAACGAAGGAGTCAAACAAGTGGCTAATGCTTTAACAAATAACACGGTAAATATCTTTAATTTTCGCATTTATATATCAACTTCTTCTAAATAGACACTTACTTTCCTTGACCTTCGTGGCAATGACATTGGAGCTGAAGGAATTAAACATTTGGCTGATAGTTTAACAAATAACAAAGTGAATATCTTTGATTTTCTCATTTATATTTCAATGTTTTTGATATAGACACTTACTTCACTTGATCTCGCAGACAATTCAATTGGAGACGAAGGACTTAAATATTTAATCGATGCTTTAGTAAATACAACAGTATGTATAATTTTATCTTAATTTTATTTATGACTGTTGTTTTTATTCGCATAGATACTCACAAGACTTGATATTAGCAACAATAACATTGGAGACGATGGAGCTCAATATATATCTAATTTTTTAAAAAATAACAAAGTGAATTTATTTATTTTTTAGTTTTATCTTTATTTTTTTTATTTTCTTAGACATTGACTGAATTGGTACTCAGAGAGAATAATATAGGACCCAAAGGAGCTGAACATATCGCTGATGCTTTACGTAATAATATGGTAATGTTTTTGATTGGCATTATTTCTTTGATTTGTGTTTTGTTCATAGTCATTAAAGACACTTCAATTCGTTATGAATTCTTTCGGACACGAAGGCGTTGAATATCTTATGGATGGTTTACAAAATAACATGGTAAATATCTTCTCATACTTATTAATTTTCATTTTGTTTTTGTATAGACACTATCAAGATTATATCTCGACGGCAATGGATTAGATGGCGAAGCAACAAAACCTGCAATAGCAACTTTGAAGACAAAACCTCGACCGAAAATCGATATATCATGGTAAAACATTAACAAGATGAACATTGCATTTTAACGTAGATATTTGATTTTATCTCTAAAATATATTATCCATAAAATACTAACATATTCAATTGGACACGACAGTTAATATTGAATTTTTTCTTTGAATAAACGAAAATATATTAACCTATACAACTTTTTTTTATTCTCTCATTTTGAGGGTCTGTGTATCACTATTGCATTTATTATATTCACACAGATACTGTAAGATTTATTTGAGATCGTCAGAAAAAATCTTGCATATCGATCAAACTGTTTATTGACATCAATCAATTATTTGAGTGATCAACTGATAGTTTATACTCGGCATCATCGATTAGTGGTAACTTCAGTTGAAATGCTTACTATAAATCTTGAAGGTAGACGTAGGTGAGAGTTCCGTATGTTTAGATGAGTTCGAATATCGACACCCACACCCGCGTTGTAGAGAAAGATGAGCAGAATATTATTCTGTTCCATTTTATTTCTCGACCTAAATCTACAAAAAAGAATTAATTTTATCTGAAAGACAATATTCATGACTATTTTAATTTTCGTTAACCGACCATCAATCAACCTCAAAGCTCTTCTCATAATCGTCATTACTGACAAGTTATCATCGATAAATGAAATACGTAATGGTCTATCTACATGCCTACAGATAAGTGAATGTTCGATACTCATTAATAATTCAATTTATTAGTCAAAATAGGAAAGACGTATTAGTTATAGACTCTAGATAAATTAAGTTGTGTCGGTGAGACGACAATGAATGTGACACGAGAAACTAAAAACTGATGACAAATTTAACTCAGCATATTGATATTCTCCTACTCCAAAGATATCGAATCGATAAAACAGAGTGTGAATTTAATTTATTTGAAATAGTATTACCAAACATCATCAATACAGAAGAACGACAAATAAACGAACAAGTTTCAGTAGTAGCTCTTTCACTATACTAATGAGAGCAGAACTTTGGAATCAGTATTTGTTAATGTTCATTACATCCTGATATTTCATCCATTAAATGTTAATTATTCTTCAAATCCTGAAACATTTCCATATAAAGATCGATATAATGTTACGAATAACTTCGTTTTTATTTTAAACAACAAACAAATATTCACCAAATAACTATACAAACTTAACAACAGAAAAAAAAGAATACATCTAACTCATTGACAAAAAAATAAACGTTTCACTTCTTTTCGAAATGTTTTTGATATAAGTAAATATGCATAACATACAATACAAAATGAAATATAACTAAGAAACGATCCTACCAACTTCAGAAAGATGCCGATCTGTGTAAAGCCGGTATTCTGTACGATCTGGTAATATATAACGACAACGTAGAGCATTGTATTACATACTACGTAAATACAAATGTCCACAACTACCATCAGAACAAACTGTCGATCTTTGGAGTTAAAGGATCGTTCAGAATTCCCTGCTGTATTTCCAGTATTCGTTGTTACAGGAGCAATACGTCGTTGACGCACTTTTCTAATATTTTTTGCAGTCCATATGGCGAAAACAATCATCAGCAAAGGCACTATAATTGCTTTGATGAGCAATGAATAATAACCCAGGAAAACGACGTATGGACCTGCTCGAAAAGAACATGTAAAATAACCAGGTGCTATTTCTTGGATATCTACTAGGATTAATGCATGACAATGAAACAACATCCAAAATAATGTTCCACAACCGATACAAATATACGCTAAACGAGGAGTACTTCTTTGTCGTGTTCGAGCATTTGATGATGTGACTAATACTCGATCGATTGAAGCTAAGATAAGATAAAATGGACTGAGAATACCAAATAAATAGGTTGTGTAATAATTGAAACGGCACATGAAGAGATTAGATTTAGTAGGATCTATTCCATAGCCAGTTGTTAATATAAGTAATAATAATGATAAAGTAATGTATAAGAAATTAGCAATATTCACTGCTATCAAATAGATGGAACATGGACTTTTACGTAGATTTTTCTGAGTGAAAACAATGAGACTGACGATACAACTAACCACACCAAATACCATTAATATGGGACCACCGATTCGAAATAAATTTGTCTGTATTGATTGTAATGATGTGAGAAAACCGTCCGACGATGACATGCTACTTTGAGAATAACTTTGATATATTTGAAAAATGCTTTTTTTTACTTGAGGCAAAATGTTTAAATGAAAGAGTAATAATAATGAATAGGTTATAATTGTTTGACATAGTCACGTCGCAATAATTTGAAATAAAAATAACTCCAAGTTTTTTAAAAAAAGTAGAGATATTTTTAGTTCTGTTAATGAGAGTATTTCAGAAAAATGAATAAAATCTAATTAATGCTTCATTCATGCTGATTATCTTAACTAATTTTTCTATACTACTCTAACGTGGTCATATATATTATTTATAACATCTTTATTATCGAAACTGAATGATAGAAAAGTTAATATTAATGAAAATTATTTAACAAGTTTTTTATATGATCAAACCTTGTTTTATTAAACGATATAAAGCGACGGTGTCTACTTAACGTTAAAGAGAATTTTTTTGTCATTATATTAGATAAATCTACATATATAAATAGAGTTCCTTCAATTGGATTTTCATATGCATCACTCTTTATTTCAAATAATTGTAAATTATGAAATTCTCTATTCATGAATATTAAATGTAAATCATCACGCTGTAAAGTAATAAATGAAGAAATTTAAGTTTGAAAACAAATACAGAATAAAACTTTTGGATCTATAATTATCTCTCAAACATGCACTTTTTTCTAGACCGAAAAATATACTCTTAATAATATTATTGTAATATATAAAGAATTATTCGTCATCTTTGATTAGAATTGTTCTTTAAATAATGAAAACTCGAGATTAAATAGAATAAAACT